AAAGCGAAACGGGAACCATTGTAATTTCGACTTATCCCAAGTTACGTTTTTGATGTTTTTCTTGGTTACGCATCAAAAACATAACTTTGGTATCACTTTACTCGTCCTCCGCTAATCAAAGTTGCACAAGCAACAATTGCACACGTTATTTGTATCACTTTAGATCAATATCGAACAATCATTCCGAATAAAAATAATGCAAAAGAGTTATCAAAGAATTATTTCTTTAAAAAATAATTGGCTCTATACTTCAAATTCGTTAATATCCTAAAGTCTCCGGTGCTGATATCATTTATATGAAAGATAATAGTGATAAAATTAATAATGTAAGTAGTAATAATAATAACGAGAAAAATAATATAGTAGTATGTAATAGTACAAATAATAATAGTCATGATAATCATAATAGTATATTAATAGAAAAGAAAGGGAAATCGACATTAAAATCAACTACTTCAATGAATACAATAGAAATTTATTATTTTACAGCTATATTTGATTATATGAACTAATTTGATTAATGATAAAGCTTAGTGTTAACTAGAAAGTCTTAATTAATTAATTAGATAATATTAGTTAATTCAATAGAAAAAAGTATTTTTTTAATTAAAAGTTAACTCGTAGTCCTCTAATCATACAGCAGCAACCTGTGAAGCTGTTGATATATTATAGATATACTGGTCTAAGTAGTGGTTAGCTTACAGAGATCTGTTATATTACTGTTAGAAGAAATTGAGCAAAAATTAGTTACAAAAGGGTTTAATTGGTCTAAAAACATTTTGATAAATTCTAATGTATCTTGGTGAAACTGAGACATAATGGAAAGCCTATTATCTGTTTTAGATTCAGTGTCATAAATGTACAGCTGGAGAAACTTGAGAATCCTGTCAACTGATAAATTCTGCTTTGTATTTGAAACGTGTAAACACCGTTTCTACCTAACCAAAAGTTAATATTATATAATTGAATATATCTTTTGATCAAATTCCTTAGTGTTCATAAGATCTTTATCCAATTTGATGCCTATAAAAGTAAATGCAAAAACACTATTATAACCCTTGATATTATTACAAAAATCTTTTCCCACGTCATTATTTCTTGTGGGTAAGTCTTTCAATACTGTGGTATCACCTGTCGAAGCTAGACTACTACCAACAAATTTAGGATTAAAATTATAGTTAATCACAGAAAGAGCAAATCCTGTTTATTATTGATTAGGAAAATTACCTGATCTTTTCCAATCCAAAACACATTCCTTATTTTTCAACAAAAAAAAAATCTAGTATAACAATACGAATATATATGTACAGTGTCAAGAATGTAATAAACAGATGTAACTGTCTCACAGAAATAGCGAGCAGTATTATAATTTTGAAATTGACATAATTTTTGGAATCTCCGAATTCGAGAGGTGTCTATGACCCAATATTCTTCAATGGTTCGCGAACGGAAAACACGAAAAGGTAGCATGGCATTTACAGAATAAACTCAACAAAAACTCAAATAGAAACTTATTATTTTTTTTTGTCCTATTTTGTTATTATTTTTATTTTATTTTATTTCTATTTTATTTTATCTTTTAATTTTTTTTTTTTGATCTTTTGAGGTACAATGAAAAAAACTTTTTAAATATCGGTAATTACAAAAATTACCAGCTTTTTATAGATAAGCAACAGATTAAGAAAAAATTTGAAACACCAATTTAGAATCTATTCACCAATTTTTACTAAAACACTGGTATCAATTGTCTTCTGTAAAATTTACGCAATTGTCTATTTCACAATAAGACTATTATTATGAAAACATGATGATTCAATTCAGGCCATTGATTTCTACTCTAATAGATTACTATGTCTTGCAGAAAATATACCTCTCTTTATACAATGCCTTCACTACCTTTTTTTTCAGGCAATTAAACACAAACTAAAATCTTAAAATAGTACTCCTCAAACATGCGTATTAATTGTGTAAATGAAACTCATCACGACATTGTTAACATGGGAAAGCAAAAAATAGCATTCAAAGAAACATACTGAAAAATGTAACAGGTTTTTTGAATAATGCAATTACCAATATTTTTTCTATTCATACATCATATCTACATCACATATGTATAGATACTCATTGATTGTTTGCATAATAAATGCTGTAACCATTACATAAATTCATTTATCTATCGAATCACGACATCCTTACAGTCATGCCAATCATTCAAGTTTTCTTCAAAATTATTGTAGATTCTCTATATTTCATTTTGTTATACTAACTTCTTTCCTTTGTAAATCCTTTGATACGGGAAGATCCTATTATATTAAGGACTACTTGAAGATTCTTGGTCATAAGATTAGTGAGTAACTCTTGAAAACTAATAATTACCAGAATACAATACTGTCACGTTTTGACAGTTATTATACAGTAAGGTATTACGGACAAAACAACCAATCAAAAACGTTAAAGCGTACACTTCTGTTTTAAATAATATAGATCGAGAAAATTTGGAGCTTTAAAATTGGCATGTCTAATAAAGAATGTTGGATTGCTGGTCACTCGAATTTAGGCTCAAAATTTTAAGATCAAGAATTTATTTTATTTTATTAAATTTATTTGTATTTTTTTCAAAAATAATAATAAAATAAGCAAAACGAAAAAATGATTTATTTTACATTTTAATGTATAAAAAAATCGAAACCACAAGTACCCTAATCACATTTCTGATAATTCAAGAAATCTAAGAAAGAACTAAAGTTTTTGTCATCATTTCATTTGACTATTTATAATTTATTTCATTAATATAGATAGCTTTTTCCAAAAATAAGACAGTATTAAATTTATGAGATTAAAAATTCGATTTGATTACGCGAGTTCTAAAATTCTAGAAAATAAGTTTATATCGGCAGAAAAATATAATGCACTCACGTTAAAATCTTTTATTCTCTTTATTCTCTTTACTGTTTAACTTTATATAAATCACTAGTAAAATAATTTATTGTCAATAGCCGTATTAAATTATTAATCACGCACGGCGATTTTATATTAAATCTTAAAAAATTAATGGCGAAAAACGTCCTTCAAAATAATTTAGAAATTCTCGCCGTAAAGGTAGAATCAGCCAATAAGGTAAAATGGATTTTTTTTTTATTTGCAATGAAATTATCAAACAATAGATTCAATATAAACGGGAATTTTGAGGGCATCGGCGATTGAGTGGAATAAAAAGCCAATATATATCCTAGGTACTAACACCCATGATATTATACACATACACTCAGATTAAACCGGAAAGGAATTACGCAATAATGATATTTTCCAAAAATTAGACTCGATAGAAGATATCAACGGAAGAACAATTATTTATTTTTAAATCAATAGATCCCACTACAATACGTTTATTTATTGCATAATTAATAAATAATATTATTGTTTAACTGATTAAATCATTTCGGAATGAAATATTACGTTAGTTTTTTTTTGAGCAAAATTGAAATTAAATTAATTTTTTTATATTAAGTCTATAGATTCAATGATTAACTATCTAATTAATTATAATAATGAATATCTCGGGGAAGAAATAAATGCATATTTTTTAATTTATAATAAAAATTTTAAAGGTACTTTATTGGGAAATGACAAAATTTAAAATTATTTTTCTAAGATTTTTTTGCGTTTTTTTTTGTATACTGTATGTACAATATTGCGCTCTCGATCATATTCTTCTCTAAATAATTTAGCTTAATTGTTAAAGTATAAATCAATTTATTAAATAAATTAACAATTTATTTTCTATTGTACAAACTTATTATAAATATTAATTAAGTAGTAATTTCAACGAGTTAATTTGGCATTTGATAAAAAGAATTTATACTAAGAGAAAAATGCTTGAGAATTAATTGAAAGAAATTATTGAAATAATTGAAATAATTAAAATATACAAGAATATACTTAGAATTAATTCAAAACCATCATTTATATATCCCATTTGTTGTTGCATTTTTACATGCTTCCTCAATCATCTTAAGATCATCTTGTAATTCGTAAAATTTTTTAATTTCTTCTTGACACTTTGAATCATCACCAAATAATTTCTTGATTTTTTTCAAGTTCCGTTGATGAATATTTGTAAGATCGGAATCATTTATTTCCGTCATAATCTCATTAGCTTTCATCATATATAAATCCAAAGATCTTTTTATTCCATTATATATCTTTATTTGTTGTTCAAAGTATTTGGATAATTGCTGATATTCATTAAACGTTTTAATTTTATATTTATTAACTGGAACAGCATCTGTAGATGTTATTAATGTAGTATATGATGAGGTGTTTTCCAATCCTTCTCTTACTTCATGAAGTTGTTTAGAGTTATTACCAGTTCTGTCCCTACTACCACCGCCACCGTTACCACTGCTAAATCCTCTATTTTTTACTCTTTCAACTCTTTCGCCGGTTATTTTATTATTATTTTTCATATCGAATGTTTTAATTGAATAATGTGTCGTGTTAAATGTACTTGGATTCTTTAAATTATATTATTGTTATTTGTAAAATTTTCGAGATTTTATTTCTTTAAGACTTAAGAAAAATTTTAATTGAAAATTTTTTTTTCTGAAAAAAATTGAAAAGGAGAGTTAAATATTGAAAATTCTTTTCTGAAAAATTTTAATATCGAAAATTTTTTCTGTTGAAAAATAACATATAATAACTTATGTAATGATTATTACAACTATATTGTATTAAACCTGATGTAATAATTAAATAATTAGATGCAATAATTAAATAATTAGACGAAATACACGGAAATTAAAATATTGATATAATTGTACTCTATTCTTTGAATATTTTTATTTTTTTTATTTTTTGTACATATATTATTTATTTATTAATTTTTCTTATAAAATAATAAATTTTTGAATTTATTGTATTAAATAATTAAAATAATATGATGATCGATAACCTTAATAATAAATTTACGAATTATTAAATAATTAATTATTATTATATTTAATTCTTAAATTATATGCCATAAATAAATTAAATTGGATTATTTATCATTTTCCTTTTTTTTTCTGCAGTAATAATTTTAAAATTAAAAGTTGTAGAACTAAGTTTATTTGTTTATTTTTTTTTCATTTTATTTAGTACATTATATTATTACTGGCGTTTTAAACTTCTCTTTATTATAAATGAAATGTATATTTTCAATGTTTTATAAAATGAAATGATTTAATTGTATTAATTAAATAAAGAATTAAAATGATTTCTAGTGGTTACATTGTATTTCTATTCAGACAAAATCATATAAAAATATAATAAATAATTTTTAATATCGTTTCGTTATTTAATAATTTAAAATTTAATTTCTAGTTTATGATTTCTCCAGAAGAAACTGCAATAGTGAACCCGAAGAATCTTAAGATCAAGTAAAGTAAAGCAATTGTTTTAATTTTATTCGAGTGATTAATGATTTCGTAAAATTATTGAATTTTATATTTATTAAGAATTTTATTACAATCATTACAGAATAGAAAAAGGATAGAAAAGTTGTTTTTACATTAGAATTATTATATTTCTTTATTAATATATTTTTTTTTAATTTATAAATCCTAACTTACTTTATTAGATCGATCTGAAATTTTAGATGTGCATGAAGATTCGAACAATCTCGTGGACAACACTTCAATCAAGATAATATATTGTAACAATAAGATTGCTGAAGCATTAGAATGTTGTGTAGTGGTTAAAGGTCTCGGGATTTTGATGTTTCTGAGAACATAGATATCTTTAGAAACTTGTCACGGGAAGATGAAATAAGTTTCATGATTAGATTATGTACGTATATTGGTTATTTCTTGTATTTAATCATTAAAAAAAAAATCTCTATAGTTGATAAAATCGATCTTAAATTTTGTATAAATAATAAAAACAATTGCAAGAAAAAACTTCGGACCAAATCAAGGCGAAACATTATAATAATCATATAAGTAAATTAAACAAAAGTTTTAATTCTAGTTAAAATTAAATGAAGCAAGATTTTGATTTGGTTGTATATTATAATATTTATGGTAGTTTATTATAATGAAATGTAAATAATTATCGAAGACAGCATGCATATATTATTAGCATAAGTTTAAGCATCAAAATAATTTTATTAAAGTTTAAAAGGTTTATTTTAATTTGGTAAGCATATATTAGAATATTGTATCGAAGATACAAGAATAATAATAATTCTAATAATAACAACAATAATAATAATAATTAGCTAGTTATTATTTAATTGAATCAATATTACTTTCATAATTAATATATCGATCGATTACTAAATTCAACACTTTTCGAATATAAAGTCACATTAAATTAATATTAAAAAAATTTGAATCTTTAATGATTTCTTTTTAATCTTTGAAATTAGAATTGTTTGTTAAGATTTATTATTATTTTTATAAATTCTATTTTGGTTATCAGGAACAATTCCGATGCCATCTCGTTATTTTGTTAAAAAAATTCCAAAAATAAAATGTCAATAAATAAGAGATGCTAAGTTATTATCGACTATCAACATAAAATTATAGTCAAAGTAGTAGTTAAAAAGGCAAGAACATATTAAAAAGCTATATAGATTAATATTTATTTCTTTCGTTTATATCATTTAAATTTAAATAAACGAATATGTCATTATCATAATATAAAATTTAATTAATTTTGTGGTATAACTAAAAATAAATGATTAATATCATGATGATACAATATTATGTTAAATCTATTTGATTATTCTATTTATTTTATGTAATTTATTCATTTTTTAAGCATTTATCAACTGCAATTTTTAATAACAATTATAAATTAAACAAAAAAGAATCCCTTATTTTTTTTTACAAATTTTTTTATTTAAAAAAAAAGAAAATAATGAATATTTAATACTAAAAGAAAAAAAATGATATTTAATGATAAAATATATAAAAAAAAAATAGATATTTATTAACAAATTTACATGAAAAAAAAAAACGGAAAATTTTTTTGATTTAACCAACAACAGCAACTTAAAACTTATTCATTATTTATAAATTTATATTATAAATATTAAGGTTATTAATAATATTTTCATCATTATTTTGTTGTCTTTGTGGACGCGTTTGCTACTCCAACTTGATGCAATCAAGTTGGAGATTGTCAAAGTGTCTTCGAAATCTTTGATTTTGTTGTTGTTGTTGTTGTAATTGTAGTTGTAGTTATTGAAATTGCTGTTTTTGTTGGGTTTGTTGTTGTTGTTGTAATTGTTGTTTTTGTTGGAGCTGCTGGAGCTGTTGTAGTTGTTGTTGTTTGAGTTGATGAAGTTGTTGTTGGAGTTGTTGTTGTTGTTGTTGGAGTTGTAATTGATTTTGTTGCCGTAGTTGTTGGATTTGTTGTTGTTGCTGTTGATTACTTTTTCTTGATAGTCCGCGACCTCTTTTTGTTGAATTTTGTTGTTGTTGATTATTTTGGTTTCTTCTTGGCCTTCCACGGCCTCATTGTGTGTTTTGTTGTGTTTGTTGAGCTTGTTGTGCTCGGTATTGAGATCTAGCTAAGACCATTATTAATTGTTTTTAAAGTTTTTATTGTGAAAAGTGTTTTATTTATGAGAATACATTGAATATTATTTGTTATTTATAAGTTTTAATGGTATAAATTTTTGATTTTTTTTTTCAAATTGGATTTGAGGAAAGGAAAAAATATTTGTTCTTATTTTTTGAAAAAATTCGAAACAAAAAAAAATATTTTTGATATCTAAATAATTCATATATTATATAATATTCATTACAATAAATATATTACAACTATTCTAATCTTCAAATATTGCATCAGATTAAATTTTTTTTCAATTCTGAGTGAATACGAAAAATTTTAACATATTCTTTTTCAAATAATAAGAAAAATTTCCATATATGCATAGCAGCATGGCATTTATTATTTTTTCATTATTTAAAAAAATGCTAATCCAAATAAATCATGTATACAATAAAATAAATAATAATAAGATTTTTTTAAGGTGCATATTTTTTTATATTATTTTTTTAGTGATTGAAATAATATAATAAATAAATTCATCAATTATATAGTTTATAATTATAAAGTTTATATTTATAGAACTGTAATTCTGGAAATCACTAAAACAATCGTCTCTTTTAATAATTAGCAAAAAGTAATAATAGTCACATTATCATATTGTTTAATTAATATATTTGATTGATAAATTATATAATACTTATAAAATTATAATAATTAATAGTTAATAATAAAAAATTATTAGTAATTAATAACGATATATCAATAGAAGAAGAGGAAGAAAAATTATCTGAATCAAAATTAGTTATATCATGTTCATGTAATAATATTTATTTATTTTTATTAATAATGAATCAAGAAATTTATCAATCAAAATAATAAATATTCTCATCTAGCACATAACATATTATATACAGCTTTTTTTCTTAAATATAATAATATGAATAAACCGAATGAATTAAACTTTTTTTTTTATTTAATTAATGTTACATGAAAAAGAATTTGAATATTTTACTTTATTTATTATTCTAAGTACTGTGACACATATTTTAGCTTTTTTTTATTATATTATACATTATAATAATTAATTATAATTGTCCCTGACCTTGAGATCAGATTCCAAATTTATCGCTTCAAAAATTCATGATAACATGATAACAGTGATACAATATAACTTATGTAATGAACGTTTTATATCGAATAATAATTTTTAATGAGTCATCAGTCAGTTTTTCAAAAAAAAAAATGACAATAAATATTTTATATAGATATAGAATAATAGATATCAGGTGTTATCGGTAAAAAAAAAATAGATATGTATATTGGTTTGCAACAATCAATTGAAACAAATTACTATTGTATTTTAACTGTATAAAAAATAGATTTACGATGACAAATATTGTATTAGAGTTTTCTAATGTATCATAAAACATTTAATTTTAATTATTTAAAAGTATGAATTCAATTACTTTAATTAATCAATAATTCAAAAATTTATTATTAAAAATAGTTTATTCGATCAATTATTTATTTCAAACATTTTAATTATTACATTCAATATATCATAAAATAAACTTCTTTTTGGGAAAATCAATAGCATTATTTTTATTTATTTAAATTTTTGATCACAAGGAAAAAAAAATATGCACCTGAAAAAAAAAATCTTATTATTATACAATAGGGTTGAAATGATTATATAGAGAAAATGATTAACAATTATTTATTTTTGCTTGAGCGAATATGGAAATTTTTAATAATAACAAAGAATCATTCTGTTGAAAAAAATTTTAATTATTTAACTAATTTTCAATCTTAGATCAGATTAAAATAACATAATATATTTTATTGAAAAACGTTTAATATTATGTAATAATTGTATGATTTATATATATAAAATATTATTTACATATTATTATTGTGGAAACTAAAAAAGGAAAATATTAATGTGAAATAATTGAAATAATGAAATTTTTCTTTATCACTATGAAATAATGAAAAAATTATCGGATGCCAATTAAATAATAAAAAAATAGGAGGAATCAAGTAATTATAAAATGGGTTCAATTTTTGTCAGGTTTTCATTTTTCTTTTCTCACAATTAATTTTTATCACGAAATAATTGTTTTTCATCCAAAAATTCACTTTGATCTTACAACATTAAAAGTTTTCATACCTCATATTAAAAATAAATTTTACTCATCTTATTATAATGGAATCAAAATTCTCCAAAATTAATGACAAATTTGTCAACAAGAAGGGCAACAGCAACAACGGCGGATTAAGAAAATATATGCCATCTTTGTTCGGCAAAAATAAAATTAACAAATATGTATGTTATTGTTTTTTATTTAAGGTTTCTTATATTATTATTATGTTATTGTAATTATTTTTTTTTTTAATTCAAAATAGAATTATAATGTTGAAATCGTGTGCCCACCTCCATATGGGTGTGTCACCGATTTCAGGAGTAACAATAATAAGAAGATTACGTTTTGTGAAGTGGTTGAAGTCGGGTCAGCAATTCAATCTTATGATAGAAACGGCCAACTTTATGGCATTAGAAAAGATGAAGAAATTGATACATGGTTTATTGGTGAAACCCACGCCAAAACTCAATATAATTTGACCCGTTGGGTAAATTTTATTTTTATTTTATTTATTAGTGTTATTGCATATACATATATCTAATCTATTATTATATCATTTATTTATCAACTATTATTTATTTCTATAGGTCAATAAAAATCACTACGATCGAGAAGAAGTCAATAATTCTTTATATGAAATTAAAAAGAACTCCGGCGTTTGGGGCCAAGGCGAAGAATGTAGATTATGGAAACCTTAGTAAGTATGATTCAAATTTTGAAATGTCTTAAAATTTTCCAAATGTCATTAGTGTAACAATTTTTTATTCTACATCCACAGAGCGGTTTTTCTTTCTTTTTTTTTCTATATTTTTTATATATATTTTAGATTTTTTTTTCTTTATACTCTGTATATTCTTTATTTTAATTTTTTATCTATACTATATATATATTCTTTATTATAAATAAATATAAAATTTTATAATTTCATTTGATTGCCGTTGATTTAGTATTATTACTATAAATGCAAAAATAAAAATAATTGAATAATAATAAATTTTTATATTGTAATATTAAATAATTAAAAGATATAAGAAATTTTTTTTTCTGAAAATATTGAAAAAGGGGAATTCAATTTCTTCTATCAAGAATCTAGATGCTGAGGTGAAGTTTTATATTAGTGTAACTTAATTGCATATTTGGAATATTTCGGATATTATTTTCGAAAGAAATAATGATGATAATATTATTTGGCTAATATAAAATATTTATATACAATCAATAATAATAATGAATATGTTAAATTGATTTTTTGGGCGCAATATTTTTTAATTAAATAATAATAATAATGAAATATATTAAACTTTTTTTTGGGTGCAATACTTTTTATTTTTTTAATTAAATAATAATAATGAATATAGTAATTAAATAATAATATAAATGATAATAATAAAAATAATATGTTACATCAGAGAATAAAAAAGTCAATTAATAATACATTGTAATTAATTAATTTAATTGACTATTGGAATTCCGGATTTTATAAAACTTTATTTTTTCATTGAAAATTTTAGATAGACAAAAAAAATCCCTTTAAATTTTATTAAATGGATCTGATACGATTACCAATTCCTTTATTATTTAATTTTCACATTATTAAAATAATAATAAGAATGTTCTGGCCCGTTGATCAACTGATTTAATAGAAATATTATAGTATTGTAAAATTTATTTTAGAATTTCAATATGCAAATGGCGTATAATATTTTGTGCTGATCAAATTTTTTTTTTAAAAAAAAAAATAATAAAATACACTAAATAAATAATTATAAATATAAATTAAGAATCAGATGTACATATATTAATTGATCCAGAAGCATCTAAATATATCAGTGATAAACAATATGAATATGTTTTTATTATTTTTAGATGAGATGATTGTTAATATGATAGAGGAAGTAAATATTGATATGATATTATTATAAAAAAATGCGAATCCAACCTATATTTGTAAAATAGCAACATTTTTCAACAAAAAGATATTTTTTTGATCTGATATAATGCTTTTAAATATTGAATCTTTCATCCTTTTTTCAATTCACCTAAAAACAAAAAAAAACTTTTAAATAATTTTATTCAAGATGAAAATAATGAATGTAATAAGCTGGCAAATTAATCAATTCAAACAACAGCAACAACAACCACTATATCCACAACAATTACAACCAATACAATATCCAGAACAGCCAAAAATTCCACAGCAAAATGTGGAAAACGACTCGCCTGACAATTTTTTGGACATGTCGAAATATCAACAAGAAATCGAGACAGCTGTCGGGACGAACCATAAAAATTCATTGATAATGCTTGCAGCTGTAGCAACCGAAGTGAGGAGTAATATTCAGGGTAAGGAATTAAAGTTATCAAAGTTGTATTTCAAATTTTATTTTTTTAAAAAAAAAAATACAATGAATAAATAATAATAATATAATTTTTATTATTAATAGGAGATGATAATAATGAAAATAGTAATAATAATAATATCCATCAACAACCCGAACAAATTTCACAACAATTTCGACTACAGATTCCACAACAACAAAATGTGGTAAATTACTGGGTTTTGGCTGCATCTGCTGAGCCAATTGTAATATCCCCTAATGTGACGTCGGAATTGCGGAGATGGGATAGGAAACGTAGAATTGAAGATTTAGAAGGTATATTTCATATTTTGCTTTTTAAAAAAGTTATAAATAATGAATAAATAAATAAATGATAAATAATGCAATTTAATATTAATAGAGGATGATAATGAAAGTGAAGATGTTAACCCTAGGAGATACAAACGAAGTAAGATGTCAAGTAAGTAACATTTTATCAAGAACATTTAAATATTATTTATTTTTATATTCTAATATCTGATATATTTTTTTTCATTATTACAGTTGAGTTTTTACTTAATTAAGTTGTTTTTGTTTCCGATTAAAATTTTTTGCTGTATATTTTTTTGTAAAATGGTACAATATTTTATTGCTTCATTTATATTTTTTAATAAAAATTTAATATATTTTACCTAAATAAAATAATTATCACTTGTGAATAATTGAAAAAATTTCAGGAATAGTGTAATTAGCAA